TAGAGACTTTGTAGTCTCTTCAATCCTTTCAACTTAAAGAATATTTTCTGATAATTACTGGAATATTAGATTGACATAATACCCCTCTCTCCATAGACTAGAATAATTCTGAACATCATGTTATTTAAAGACAGTAGTGGCATATGCTTTAAGGGAACACTGTTATATGTCTACACATGTGATGCATTTCACACAGCTCCCCAGACCTCACACCCAGAGACCCTTGCTCCAAGATTCAAGTCTAACCATAAAATATTCAACTTCTCGTCAACTTGGTACAGTGAAAATGCACAGGATAGGCATAAATGATGACAGAACAATATCTCTATGACAGGAGAAATGCTGAGTAGCAACATAATATCTTTTTAGTTAACTAAAATGTATTTAAAAATAGACGTTGGACATGGTGATTGGAATGAGAATATAGCAGTGTAATGGCCATCGTTGACAGAGGTGACAGTTCCGATCTTCTCACAGTTGGCACAAGCTCCTGGCTAGTTCCTCCTCATGTTTTTGATGAAGATTTGTTCCATCAACAATAGTCTCCCATCGCATGTCCCTTGATTTAACCATCTGAATTTAAGTGACATAGAACTTGATGTAATGCAAGAGATACTTGAAACAATAAAAGAGACAAAAATAATTTGGAATATATCTGGTAACAATTTCTTTCTTTTTTTAATGTCTTTAGCGACAAGGTGCTGGGGCAACCAATGGAAAAGACAAGACATCGGGCGAGAATGGTAAGATGACATCAATAGTTAGCTGCTTGCTTTTTTCGCACCTGCCACCCTGGGCATGTTGCAGGTGTGGGTCATGCCTTCCATCAAAGTCAGCTTACTATATCTGTCTGTACTTTGGCTTCGAGTGGAGTTTAGCAATTCTCAGTGAGTGCTGTGGTCCGGTTTTACAAAGAAAACTGAGCTAGCTAAATGCAGTGTGATAAGAACTGTTTCCTCCCCAAAGGAGGACTCTCATTTTGGGCAACATGGTAATTACAATGCAAATATAGTTCTCTGCTTTCTCCATTAGGGTTGGTGACAAGCATCCAAGTTGTTGTGAGGATAAAATAAGATCAAATGGGATGAGTGCTGTGAAAACTGTGAAGCGCTCGACTCCTTAAAGGAGGTTTTAAAATCTGCTTCAGCCATCGCTGTACACAGAGCACAGTGCTGGTCCCAGGCAAGGTGCGGGATCAGTGACCATCCCTGTGGTCATTCACCAGCAAATAAAAATATGTAGCAGAGACAGGAGCAATTGCAGCCTGCAACTCCAGTCTCCACATTGGCCTTAAGTTGAAGGAATAATCTTATTTTATGGATGGGGAAACTGAGGCTTGGAGTGGAGGAGCTGGGATGTGACCAGGAATTGAAGGAACATGGTCTTTGCAGAAGACAGAGCTGGGTGTAAGCCCAGCTCCCCAATTTTAGTGGTTGTGATGGAGGATGACTTATNTGATGGAGCCCAAGTCAACAGGGAAATGGATGAGGCTGGGGGCGGAGCAGGCCCGGTTCCCCGTGAAGGTCAGGGTTATCAGAGCAGGAGGGAGGGGGCGGCAGCCTCCTGCCTCCTGGGGTTTGGGCCACCAGGAACCAAATGGGTAGGATGGGTAGAATGCAGGCGTCCTCCAGTGACTTGGGGCTGGAAGCCACATATCCAGCTGCTGAGGCCACAGGAGAGGTGGGGACACGGGGGCTATCAGTGACTGTAGGTGTTCCGGGAGACCTGGAATGGTGGCTGCCTGGCTTGGGGCTTAGGTGTTAACCTGGGATGGAGGCAGCTCTGAGCTGTCCCCAGCCAGCAGTTCAGCTAGAAGATGCTAGAATTTCCTTCACTCTCCTGGAGAGGCATCAGGGAGTGGATTTGCTTTCATTTAGAACCTGGACTTAAACGTCAAGCTTGTGACTGTAAGGTAGCTGCTTAAACAGTATGAGAAACGACCATCTCCTGCTTTTAATTAAGTACAAAGCAGAGCCCAAATCTTCATCCCTCTTGTTCCCCACACAACTAGGGGAACTGTCTCAGGCACCTCAGTGAGGACATCCCCTAAAGAAATGAAGATTTGAGCCCCACTCATGTAAGCCATACATTGAAAGTCCAGAAGGGGAGAAGGATAGCCAATATCGTGGAACCATTGAATTTAGAATGTAATTATAAACTTCACTTTTTTCAGCATGTGGAATACTTATTATTATTATTATTATTATTATTATTATTATTATTATTGTTGTTGTTGTTTTTTACAGAAATTGCTACTTGTCATGAGTGAGAAAGCTAATTACTTGCATATAACTAGATTTGAATTAATAAGACATTTAAAAATCATATTTCCCTTGATGGTGACCCTCCCTGATCCCAAAAAACTAACTCAACAGTAGATGCTCCTTTCCAGCTCTCTGGGAGTCCTCTGGGTACTGGCCACAGTCGTCCTGTTCCAGCTGCCACTTTCCTTTCTGGAATTGAGTTGACGATTGATCAGCTGAANACGACAAGGGGCAGATGGCAGGAAACACAGCGAGATTCTCCTGGAAGCAGAATTATGAGGAGAGCTCCTGGTTCTGTTTTTGCTGGTGTTGAATTCAATGCTGCTTCCCCACCCCCACCCCCCATGCTTCTGCACCAAAGGAAAAATAAACAGAAGTCCATGTGTATCAACCACTGATGTCCTTAGTGGCCATGACACTTGTCTCTCTAGATCAGTCTGAAAATAATGAAGCAAATTTCTGCTGGTAGGAAGGTATTGAATGCCACGTGCAGGACGCCGTCAATACAGTTGTGTTTGGTTTGCTCCATAATGTGGACGGTATATGCTACACACCTGCTTTTAACCTGGTAATTGTCACTGTGCATATTTGATCAGACAGAACTTGTCCTGCCCTCTGCGGACCTTAATAGATTAAGCTGGATTGATATGTAAACTGAATGACGCAATGGCGGCAGTCATGGTGTCATTGGATCATTGCTGAGGCTCCTAGAAAAGGGCTTGGACCTCCAGAATCTCCTATCGGGCCTTTCCCTGAACAGCTGACCATGCTCTTTCCCTTTAACTCTTCATCTTATTTATTAGCTCAGTCAGAGTCGATGATGTTCTTGAGGTGGGGCTACTTCTGTTCAGCAGGCAACACAGGTGCTCAGGATGCTGAGCAAATGGTTGGGCTAATGGCTGGAGGAGGCTGGGTCCTTTCTCATTTGGGGATGAGAGTGAGTGGCGAGAAAAGGCAGCCTTCTCCCTCAGGGCGCTAACTTCTATCACCTCATGAAAAAGTGGTGGCAGAAGGTAGCACTTTTTCCTTCTGGACTTTGGAGAATGGCATCCAACCATCCATCCATCCATCCATCCATCTATCCATCCATTTTAGTATAGCCTAGCCATGAGTCCTTGTGTTATTTAAACTTAAAAACAAAACAAAACAAAGCACCTCACAACAATCCTACAATTGATCCCTGGACTGTTGGTTTGATTCTGCTTCTNTAATCCTTCGTCAATAAAACATTAAATATAAAACCATAAAAACACACCTTCTTGTTTCTTTATAAACATGGTGATCCAAAGAAAGCACAGAACAAAAGCTTGGAAGGATGGAAAGAGATTTCTGGGGTTGGGTCTCCATCTTGTTGCCTCTCCTGTGTGAGGTATTAATTTTTCAAAGAATTTGCAACATCCGAACCAGTCTACACCAATGACGTGCAGCTTTGTGTTTTTCCTCTTATTTATGAGCCATCTGAGGCACTACTTGTCACGAAGCTTCCATTTCAGGGGTGCTAGAAACACTGAAACCATCAGAAATGTGAGTATCAGGATGCAACAGCACGAAAGGAAGACAGCGCTATGGAGGAAAATTACTTAAGAAAAAAATGTATCTCCAGGGGATAGGAGGCATTAAGTAGCACTTGCTAACAAGAGCATCTAAGCCACCGTGGGCATGAGGTAGATTTTTCTCTCCTTCTTTGCGAAATCTCTGTAACTCACAGAAGCCAGAGATTGGGAACAGAGGGCAAAATGCTAAAAAGTACGTTGAAACAAGTCCTTCCCCTTCTCTCGGCAGAGAGATGCTGTCCACTCGATTCCACCCAATAATGCCTCTTCTGGAAAAGACTGTCGCAGATGGACAGGTGGGAGAGTGCATCTACTAGGTGCCGGGTCCCTACATGTGGCCAGTAGGAGCCAGAGGTTATGATCTGTTCTCGGAAGGAGGGAGCAGGGGCTCCGATAGGGGATTTCCCTAGGGACCAGCTGGCAATGTCACACACACCCCTTTCTCAAGATGTGGAAGACCTCTTGACCCACACTCACACCAGTATGAGTTGGGGGCCCCTTGCTCATGGCCCTGATCTTGGCCATCTTGGGTAAGGCTCTTACCTACAGTATTGAGATGGTTGGTTTAGTCTCTGTCCCTCCAGGTTGTGAGCCAGTCAGAGACTGTGACTTTCTCCTGAGGACCCTCGGAGCCCAACCGAGTTCTTGGCTCATGGGAAAGTAAACAGTTCAGGCATGAGTTACCCCCCAGCTCCCCCGGCCTCCACACACATACCCATGGGTTGGGTCGGGGCCTCTGACACTGAACCCGTGAACTTCATTGCTGATGGTTTTGCACATTGGTGATTGTACCTAGTTTTGACAATCTGATTTTCAAAAGCATCTTCTATTTCTTAGCCTGGGAGGGACCAAAGTCCTCTCACTAGACAGTTTTCCTTGCGCTGTAGCACTGACAAGCGGACCCCAGAACTATGTGGAGCCCATTTCACTTCCTCCCAATGGCTTGATAACGGGCTGAAAAAAAAATGCCTCTGTGAGCCAAAGGATTCCGTGGGGTCCCTTTGTCCTTTGTCCCTTTGTGGGGCCTGGCTTCATGACGGTTGTCATCTTTTCTCTAGTGTTGTCAAAGCAAGTGGGTGCATAGAGCTCTTTCCAATATTTGGTGGCAAAATGAGTGAGTCTCTTGGGGAGATGGGAGAAGAAAGGGCAGGGAGCGGGTGGGACCCTGGGGANCTCTTCCAGGGGTCGGCAAACCTTTTGAGACGGAATGTACCCAAAGAACCGCATGTGGCTCGCGAGCCGCAGTTTGCTGACCCCTGGTCTGGGTGAACGAATAAGACATTACCCCTCAAAGACCTCAGAGGGTAGTGGGGAACACAGAATCACGTAAAATTATGGGCTACAGGGTCCATACGGAGGACAGCTCCATTCACGGTGTAAACCACTGTCAGGGAGGCCTGGGTTAATGTCACTGGGTGGGCCAGGGAGCAGGAAGAAGGACATGATTAGGGAACCCTTCCCAGTGGAGTCCATGCTTATAAAATGAGGGGCTCAGTACATATTGATTGAAGAATAACCACCATAGATAATGGCTAGTCTTAAAAGCCACAAATTTTAGGACCGCAGGAGAATTTAGCAATCCTCAAGTCCAGTGAATGGCTACATGTCTATTATGACACTATAGTTGATTTCTAACTCCTACCTGGTGATCTAAATTGCTTTAAACATGTAGGGCATTTCCCATGCTCATCAATGGATATTGGGGTTCTATTGACTTTTTCCTTTAAAAGTGTTAAGTGAAAAAAAAATCTATTCAGCACATTACAAGCAGATTCCATGAGGACAGTCAATGAGATTTTTGGAATTGTGCATGTTGTTGTATCTTGGAAATTCCCTGTTCTGATTGTGAGCATGCCTGAATGAATTTAGATATGCCCGTAATCTACCCCTGTGTGAGCGTTAGTGTTTGTCCATGGCAGGATATCA